TGAGGTCGTCTGTAGCCCAGTCCTCTTCTTTAGTAAATATTTTCCATATAGTTTTGATGCTGTGTCAAGGAGAGATATTGGGTGATAGTTACTTGGGATCGACTTGTCACCTTTTTGTGGATGGGGTCCACCAGGGGTCATTTCGTATTAGCATAATGGCTCATTAGCATATGCCATGCCCCCTGACATCACCGGAAGTGATGTCAGAAGGGGAAGTAAAAGGGGGGACAGGGCCGGTGCCAGGTTTTTTTGCACACTAGGCGAGGCTACCTTCTGGCACCCCCACCTCCCCGGGCGCCCACCAATTTTCAAACAAGTGCATTTTAGGAAGAATGAAAAACACAAAATTTAAAATTGCTAATTTCTTTCTTTTTTTTTAATTGTGAGAACGAGTAATACAATCTTGGATTTTCTCTCTCTTCAACTGATTGTATGGCCACATCTAAAACAGCATAATATTCACTTTGAGAGCACCACAGCCCATTTAAGACTGAGATTAATGTCAAACTAAGAGAGCCCTGAGATTGTTGACTTCAGACCTTCCCAGTGGTGCCTCTCATATTTGGGAAGCCTGTCAGAAATCCCAAGAGCTGCGGGAGTAATCATGAGATTTTGAGCATTGCGTTTTACTTGTGGCTGCCCTCTGCCATAACATTGACTACCAATAAAATGCGATTGTCAGAAGCGTAAGAAGGGGCATCAGAAATGTCAAGAGACCCCAAATTCCAAGCATACACTTCCGGCCCCAGAAAGCTTTCTTTGTGGCAGTCCCAAATTTAGCAATATCAAAGGCAGGGTCATGATTCCAAAGGGGAAGAAGTACTAAAACACCAACCCGCAAAGGAATTGTTTGCACAAGATGGCAGCCTCGGCTAAATGGTAATTCATTCTCGGATTCCATTCTACCATGACTGTTTTTGGCGAAGAAGAGGAGGAGGAGGAGGAGGAGATTGGATTTATACCCTGCCCTTCACTACCCAAAGGAGTCTCAGAGCAGCTTACAAACTCCTTTCCCTTCCCCTCCCCACAACAGGAACCCTGTGAGGTAGGTGGGGTTGAGAGAGCTCTTTCGAGAACTGCTCCTGAGAGAACAGCTCTGAGAGAACTTGTGACTGACCCAAGGTCACACCAGCATCTGCACATGGAGGAGTGGGGAATCAAACCCAGTTCTCCCAGATTAGAGTCCGCGCACTTAACCACTACACCAAACCACTACACCAGCCAAGTAATTCCCAATGTCCCCTAGGTAAGAGGAGGGTACAATGTGTGAGTGAGTGCTGTATGGGAGAGTGTATGGTTGGTGATTGCTGGTTTTGTTTTATAGCACTCAGAGCGTGGTGTTATAGTAGGCTAAAGTTAAAGTCGAGTTGTTTGCACTGAGAGAGCGGTATTGCTGCGCTCTGTCATCTGGTCGCTGGTTGGCCTGAAGCATTGCGGAGGCCACCAGGGGGTAGAAATGACTGGTCAGCAAATTCCGGTGCTCTTGGGGTGGAGGAAGTGCAGTGGGCCAAGGCAAATTTGTAAGGGAAGGACGCAGAGAAATGGATTGGCTCGGCGCCCTTCCAGCCTTCGGCCCATCCCAACAGTGGCTGGCAGTGGGGCCAGGAGGAAGAACCCCCCTCCGTCGCTGGTGTTGTTTAACGCCAGGTCTGTGAACAATAAAGCTGTAGTCCTTCGGGATTTTGTCCAAGAACAACATGCAGACCTGGCGTGTGTGACCGAGACCTGGGTGCGGGAGGGAGAAGCAATAGCTCTTGTCCAGCTGACCCCACCTGGGTTCTCGGTCCTTCACCAGTCACGGACTCGGGGGCGGGGGGGAGGAGTGGCTATCCTCATTCGGGAGGCTTACTCCTTCAGGGCGCTCCCGCCAGCGGAGGTTGAGGGCGTGGAGTGCGTCGGTGCGATCCTCTAGCCGGGCTACGGACCTGGTGTCGTCCATGGCGACGCTGGGACTCTCTCAGCTTGTCTCGGCTCCCACGCATCGGGCCGGCCACACGCTCGATTTGATCTTCGCGGCGGGGGTGGAGGTGGATCGGATTACTACGGAGGTAGTACCATGGTCGGACCACCAGGCCCTGAAGGCCCATCTGAGGGCTCCACCCCGACCCTGTTTAGGCGGCGAGCAGATTTATGCTCGCCCGCGGTGCCAAATGGACCCTATGCGGCTCCAGATGGCTCTGCGGGATCTGAGCCCCCCTGGCGGTTCGTTGGATGCGCTGGTGGAGGACTGGCATGCCCGGCTCTCCTCGGCCATTGATGTGATCGCTCCCAGGCGCCCTCTCCGCACTCGTGTTAGGCGAGCGCCTTGGTATACCCAGGAGCTGCGCGAGCTGAAGCGGGAGCTGAGACGGCTAGAGAGACGGTGGCGCCGAGCTCGCGATGAAGCATCCAGAGCATCTTATAGGACGTTTATGAAGGCCTATGAGATGGCAGCCAAAGCCGCAAAGAGGGAGTTCTATGCGGCCGCGATTGCGTCTGCTAGCTCACGCCCGGCCCAATTATTTAGTACAATTCGGTCTTTGACAACTCTGCCA